ATTTCTGTGTTTATCCTAAAAACTGCCTGTGGGACTGTCGGGTCAGTTTCAGGACCGTGGCTCAGGGAAGCACAATCTCAAGGAGTCCTGACAAAGTGTGCCTGAGGCATCAGATTAGTCTTATATGTTTAAGGGAGACGAGAACTACAGCAAAGACTTAAATCAATACGTGGAAAACACACATTGGTTAGGTCCAAAAAGGTGGGATGTCTGGAAGAGGAGGCTTACAGGTTATAGGTGGATTCAGGGACTCTGTGATTTGCGGTTGGTTAAAGGCTCTTTCTAAAACTTGGAGTCAGCACAACGTTTTAAGTTGAGGATGCTACATAGCGAGATTGATGGTCTGCAGGTGTGGCCTATTGGGGAAAACCCCAACCCCGATATTTATCATGGGTTCTTTTCTATTCCCTAAGCATCTTGGCTGGTTTGAGAAATAAAGGGAAAGAGTACAAGAGACAGAAATTTTAAAGCTGAGTGTCTGGAGGAGACATCACATGTAAAAACCAGCAAGTTTTTATCAGCGATTTTCAAAAGGGGAGGGAGTGCACGAATAGGGTGTGGGTCACAGAGATCACATACTTCACAAGGTAATAAAATATCACAAAGCAAGTGGAGGCAGGGCAAGATCACAGGACCACAGGATGGGGCGAAATTAAAATTGCTAATGAAGTTTCAGACACTCATTGTTATTGATAACATCTTATCAGGAGATAGGGTTTGAAAGCAGACAACCTGTCTGACCAGAATTTATTAGGTAGGAATTTCCTCGTCCTAATAAGCCTGGGAGCACTACAGGAGACCCGGTCTTATTTCATCCCTTCAGCTTCAACTGTAAAAGGTGGTCACCTTAAGGGGGCCGTCTATAGACCTACCCTCAGGGTGCATTCTCTTTCTCAGGGATGTTCCTTGCTGAGGAAAAGAATTCAGGGGTATTTCTACTATTTGCATTTGAAAGACGAGAAATATGACTCTGTTCCATCTGGCTCACCGGCAGTCAGTTCAAGGTTACCTCCCTTGTTCCCTGAACATCGCTGTTATCCTGTTCTTTTTTCAAGATGCCCAGATTTCATATTGTTCAAACACACATACTCTACAAACAATTTGTGCAGTTAATGCAACCATCACAGGGTCCTGAGGTGACATTCATCCTCCTCAGCTTACGAAGATGGTGGGATTAAGAGATTAAAGACAGGCATAGGGAATCACAAGGGTATTGATTGGGGAAGTGATAAGTGTCCATGAAATCTTCACTTTATGTTCAGAGATTGCAGGAAAGACAGGCATAAGAAATTAGAAAAGTATTAATTTGAGGAACTAATCAATGTCCATGAAATCCTCACAGTTTATGTTCTGCTGCGGCTTCAGCCGGTCTCTCTGTTCAGGGTCCCTGACTTCCCGCAGCAGTGGCCTTGCCATGCTTAGCCTTAGGTTCTGTTTATAATTGAGTATCTTATTGCCATAAAGCGTCTGTTTTGTCAGCCTTCTTGTCTCTATTTTATCATTAGTGCTGGTCAGTTGTGTCTAAACTCCAAAAGGGAGGGGTTATAGCAAGGTATGTGTGACTTTCCTTCCTGCTATGGCCAAGCACACAGTTTTTCAGGTTTTTCTGGGATCCTCTTGGCCAAGAGGGGGTCCATTCAGTCTGTTCAGGGAGTTTGGGATCTTATTTTTTGTCTGCAGTGAAATCACACAATGTGCAGCCTTTTGAGTCTGGCGTCTGACATTTAGCATCGTGCATTTGAGATTCATCTCTTTGTTCCGGGAGTTTGTTCCTTTTTATTGCTTAACACATTTTCATTGTGTGGAGCTACCATAGTTTATTCTCCTGATGAAGGACATTTGAGTTGTTTCCAGTGCTTGGCAATTATGAATAATCGCATTGTTAAAAACTTAAGCCAAATTAAATTTAAAGGAGTTTAATTGAGCAATGAACGATTCATGAATCGGGCAGCCCCCAGAATGACAGCAGATTCAGAGAGACTCCAGCACAGCCACATGGTGGAGGAAAATGTATAGACAGCAAAAGGAAGGTGAAATACAGAAAACAAAAGCGAGGTACAGAAACAGCTGGATTGGTTGCAGCTCAGTGTTTGCCTTATTTGAACATGGTTTGAACAGTGGCTACATTTGATTGGCCAAAACTCACTGATTGGTGCAGGTGTGAGCTATGATCAGTTTATACCTCCTCTTGTTATAGTTCATGATGTGCAGAAAAACCTTTCCGCCAAACTGAAATATGTAAGGAGGCAACTTCAGGCTGAACTTGGTTTAACACCATTATAGACATACACATTTAGTCATTTTTGTACGTCAACATGAAGCATAGGTCTCCGTGTCACTTGGGTAGATACTTGGGAGAGGGACTGTGGGGTCATGTGGTGACTGTTTAACCAAGTGGCTGTTGTCAACCTAAAGGACGAGACTGAGGCAAGATTTAATGTAAGTAGAGTTTCGAGGACTGCAAGGTTTGAGGACTGCAGCCAGAGAGAAATAAATTAAAGTTGCCCTGAATACATGCTCCAATTAGCAGCCGTTTAAGTGAAGTTTTAAAGGAAAAAAGAAGGGGAAGTTCTTAAGTTATCTACCAAGAATTTACATTGGTTCATTAAAATCACAGGAGCTATTGACTGGATGTGGTTTTTTGTATCAGAAATCCTACATACGTGAAGACAATAGGTGAGGGTCACATTGTGGAACTTGTGATAACATTTTGGGTAAGTTATCAGCAAATCTGGAAACTATAGGTAAAGAAAGGAAAAACAAAATGCCTTGAAACGGTTACCCTGGGCTTGGCTGCAGGGTCAGGGTGGGGGCCTGACTGAGGCCTCTTGCTGGTCTCTCTGGGCCTCATCACTTTAGCCAACCTCACATTCCTCAGGCTGCCATGAGATATGGGGAGAACCCGCTCCCGATGTTTAACGTGGGTTCTTTTCTATTTCCTGAGTGTCTCGGCTGGGCTGAGAAATAAAGGGAAAGAGCACAAGAGAGAGAAATTAAAGCTGGGTGTCCGGGGGAGACATCACATGTCGGCAGGATCCGTGATGCTCCCCGAGCCGTAAAACCAGCAAGTTTTTATTACTGATTTTCAAAAGGGGAGGGAGTGCACGAATAGGGTGTGGTCACAGAGATCACATACTTCACAAGGTAATACAATGTCACAAAGCAAATGGCGACAGGGCAAGATCACAGGACAACGAGGGGTCCCAGAAGCAGAACCACGGGGTCCGGGTTGTAGCCCCCTTGACCTCAACACTAATCATGGGGACTCTTTTCTTGCTGCTGCCTCCTTGCCTGTGGCCCCCTTTTCTTGCTCTACCCCCAAGTTTTTCCTGGCCCACCTGATCCAGTGACTTACGCCTCCTCAGGGGCTCTCTGAAGCTCCTGGGGTGAATGTGCAGCCCCCTTGCTATGCCCACCAGGCCCTCCAGACCTGCCAGGTACCTGCCCATGGCCTAACCTCACCTATCACTTCTCTCCACCTCCACCCCACTGAGCCACCCCAAAGGCTCTTCTGGAAACAGTCCCACTGCCCAACTCCCTTGCAGAGCAAAACCAGCCTGAGCACACTTTCCTTCATTTCATTTTCTACCCCTTCTTCCAGGCTGCAAGCTGCTGGTGGGCAGGGGCCTCATGAAGCCGCACATCCCCAAGCACCCAGCCTGGGGTTGCAGCTGGAGATGCTCAGGCGGGTGTGTTGTATGGGTGGTGTATTAGGCCGTTCTCACGTTGCTGCAAAGAAGTACCTGAGGCTGGGTAATTTATAAAGAAAAGAGGTGTAATTGGCTCATGGTTCTGCAGGCTGTACAGGAAGCGTGGCTGGGATGGCCGCAGGAAGCTTCCAGTCATGGTGGAAGGTGAATGGGGAGCAGGCACATCATGTGGTGGGAGCAGGAGCAAGTGGGGAAGGAGATGCCACATGTTTTTAAACAAGCAGATCTCGCAAGAATGCCCTATCATGAGGGCAGCACCAAGGGGATGGGGCTAAACCATTCATGAAGGAGCCACCCCTGTGATACAGTCACCTCCCACCAGGCCCCACCTGCAACACTGGGGATTACAATTTGACATGAGATTTGGGTGGGGACACAGATCCAAACTACATCAGGTGGAGACCTCTGAGATGGGAGTTTCATAGATGAAAATGCGGGCCCCAGCGGGGGAAGCATCCCTGCCACCCACTGTTGCAGGCCTCAGTGCCTTTTCCTGTGCTGTCTCCTCTGCCCACTGTGCCCTCCAGGCATCCTTCAATGCCATCTCAGGAAGACGCGCCTCCCCTGGGCAGCAGGCCCCTGACTGTGCTCCCTGCCCTGGGCTCCTGGCAGTGGCCCCTCACTGGTTGTTTTGTGAGGCCCTCCTGGATGCCTTCTTCCTCTCCTGCACTGTGGTCTCCACTGCCCACATGCAAAGGCCTGGGAGATGCTGGGTTCCCGGAAGCGAGGATTGGCTCCCTTTCTTCCTCTGTCCCCCTCTTTCTCCTTCCCTTTCCTCCTCCCCTCCTCCCCTCTTCCCTTTGGCCTCCTCTCCTGCTCTTCCCTCCTTCCTCCTCTTCCTTTCCTCTGTCTCCTCCTCCTTCTCCTGCCGCTTCTTGGATCATACCTGACCTGCTGCCTGCACACTTCGTCCCCACCCACTGCTGCCCCAGCGTGTCGGGGTGTTTGGGCTGGGTTCCCTGAATTGAACCCACACCTGGCGTCTCTGACATGCTTTCACCATGAGACCTCCATCATGTCCTCACCTCAGAGGCCACCGAGACCTCCCTGGCCACCCCCTTGCCCCTCCATGTGCTCTCTGGAGTGCCCTCCTTCCTGTCCCTCGGGAGAGCTGGTCCGCCTCAGCCCCTGGGCAGCACAGCCTAAGCCTCCAGAGATGTTGACTGGGTGAATGCATGCATTTCTTGGGAAAGTTTTCTTTTTTGGGATTTCTTTTGATGTTACAAGCCTGATCACAGCGTGCAGCTGGGTCGTGCCATCTCTCCTCGGCCTATTGCGCTTCCTTGGCAGGGGCTGTACAAAGCGGACCAGCGGTTTGGGCCAGGCGTTGAGACCTACCCTGACGGCAGCCAGGACGTGGGGCTGTGGTTCCGGGAGCAACTCATCAAGCTGTGCACCCAGATCCCCAGTGGCTTCTCCCTCCTCAGCTACCCTGAGTACTCCGGCTTCCTCACTTACAGCCCTGCCAGGATCAGCCTCTCAGAAGAGGAGAAAACAGAGTGGGGACTGCAGGAGGAACAGGACCCCTTTTTCTATGAGTATAAGCGGTTTCTTCTGAATGACAACCTAATGCTGCCTCCAGAAACGTATGTCTACTCGACTGACTATGACCACCTGCCCATGACAAGCTCTTTCCGCAAAGAGCTGGACACCTGCATCTTCCTCAATGAAATTCCTCCGTTCGTTGACGATGGAGAACCCTGGTTCATAATCAATGAGACCCCTTTGTTGATCAAAATCCAGAAGCAAACTTACAAGTTCAGGTGACCAGTCTGCTACTGCTCCTCCCCCAGGGCCCTGCACTGTGCAGGCTGCCCCTAGGCAGGTTCCTGAGGCCCCCAGCCAGCTGCCACTGAGGGTGCTCCCTCAGGGTAACCTAAACACGCTCCTCCCATTACGTGACTGATGTGGGCCATAATGAAGGGAGGGAAAGCCCCTGCTGGCTCGAGCTGGGAGACAGGCTGGGCCCTGGGGCCCTGGACGTCTGTGCAGGGGAATGAGGGTCTCAGGATCCCACCTGCCCACTCTTGGGGACAGGAGTGATCAGGAGGTGGATTGGTGAACATGCAGCCAGGGGAGTCCCAAGGCTGGTGTGGAACCTGGGGCAGATGTGGCTGGGGAGAAGCTCCTGAGTCCATGGAGCTGCAGGTGAGTCCTGGCCCTGGGCCCTGTGCATTTCCCCTTGTGCAGGCCGTAACTAGCGCCCTGCCCCGACGATTGCGTCAGCGCCTAGGTGTTCCATGGGCCAAGTCTCCTCTCAGGGTTGGCATGGAGAGCAGGGTTTGTTGTTACTGTTATGTGGTGGTAAGGGATCTGCCTGAGAGCCAAGGGTGGGAGCACAGGGCAGTAGTGGTGTTGGGGCCCAGCCAGGCCTTCGACTTGTCCAAGGATGGCATGAAAAGATGCTCTGCTCTGTTGGTCTTCCAAAAGCCTCCTACCCTACCCAGCGCCCCAGGAAAGTCAGCCACCACCTAAGGAAAAGTGTTTAATTTTTTTGGTGGGGGGGCACAGAGTCTCACTCTGTCACCCAGGCTGGAGTGCAGTGGTGCAATCTTGGTTCACTGCAACCTCCGGCTCCCGGGTTCAAGCAGTTCTTTGCCTCAGTCTCCGGAGTAGCTGGGATTACAGGCGCCCACCGCCACACCCAGGTAATTTTTGTATTTTTAGTAGAGATGGGCTTTCACCATATTGGCCAGGCTGGTCTTGAACTCCTAACCTCATGGTCCAACCTCCTTGGCGTCCCAAAGTGTTGGGATTATAGGTGTGAGCCACTGTGCCCGGCCGAAGTGTTTAATTTTTAGAAGTTAAAATATTCAAGAACACTTTAATTCCTTTCCTAAATATTGACCTCAGATGTCACTAAACTTTCCGAATGCATATTTTCTGAGAATAAGTGGCTGCTTTTTCATTCATCAATCCATCCACCCACCCAATCACCCACCCACCTACCATCCAATCCACCCATGCAACATCCATTCATTCAAGCATCTGTTCATCTACCCACACACCCATCCATTCATCCATCAGTTCATGCATGCAATATCCATTCATCCAGCCATCCATTCATCTACCCACCCACCTGCCCATTCATCCACCCACCCACCCATTCAGTCATCCATCAATACACCCATGCAGCATCCATTCATCCAGCCATCCATTCATCTATCCACCCACCTACCCATTCACCCACCCACCCATCCATTCATCTATCAGTCCACCCACACACCTACTCATTCATCCACCCACTTACCCATCCATTCATCCATCAATTCATGCATGCAATATCCATTCATACAACCATCCATTCATCTACCCACCCACCTACCCATTTGTCCACCCATCTACCAGTCCAGTCATCCATCAATTCACCCTTGCAACATCCATTCATCCAGCCATCCATTTGTCTATCCACCCACCTACCCATTAATTCACCCACTCACCCACCTTTCCATCCATTCATCCATCAGTATACTCATGCAACATTCATTCACCCACCCACCCCTTCATCCATCAATCTACCCATGGAACATCCATTCATCTAGCCATCCTTTCATCTGCCCATCTACCTACCCATTCATCCACCCACCCACCCATGCAACATCCATTCATCCAACCATCCATTCATCTACCCACCTACCTACCCATTCATCCACTCACCTACCCATCTATCCATCCATCAATCTATTCATGCATCCACCTACCCAGCCATCCATTCATCTATCAATCCACCAATGCAGCACCCATTCATCCACCCACCCACTCATCCATCTATTCATCCACCCGCCCATCCATCCACCCTCCCACCTACCCATTCATCCATCTTCCCACCCACCCGTCCATTCGTCCACTCACCCACCCATTCATCCATCAATTCACTCATGCAACATACATCCACCTACCCAACCATCCATCCATCCATCATGCAAACATCAACTGGGCTTGTAATTGTTGACAGTTACAACTGGTCTTCCTGTGTGGACCAGGCTTGTACAGGGTGAGTTACAAGATAAGGCAGGGAGTGGGCAAGAGAGATAGAGCCTGGGCATCCCCCAAGAGACCCTGAGCTCCACCACAGATGCCAAGTGATATGTGTTCTTTACTCGTCACTTGCATAGCAGCCTGGGGCCCCGAGACCTGCCCTGCCAGCACTGTGTAGGCAGAAGACTGTTAGGTACAGAAGCAACTGTAATGCACAGGTTCTCTATTGTGAAAAGAGGTTGTGTACACACCAGGAGGCATCAGTGTTGTGTGGTAAGCCATGAGATATGCGTGTTGTCTACTCAGACAAAAGTGTACGAGCAGAGGGTGGAATGTGGGTGTTGGTACTGAGACTGGACCCACATGTATGTTGGCCTCCTTCCTACCCAGCACCTTTGCTGTTACAGCCCATTTCTTAGCAAACACCCAGTGACCCAGATGAATGAGAGATGCATGGGTGTACTCGCAGCCAGCACATTCCTGCTGGGACAGACATGTAGCCCAAGCATCTTGACGTCCAGGTGGCATGTCCACACCGCCATGTGCAACCTAGTGGATCATGAGCAGCTGGGGGTGCAGCTGCCAGCACTCAGGATGCCTGAGGAGTGAACAGTGGGGGGCTGAGCCACAAGAAGGGGAGGCATTGGAGGGAGGTGGCCCAGCTGGACCCTTTCTCGTGGGAGGTGCAGAACCTGGTCTAGGACCACTGAAAGTTGTTGTGTTGCCAGGAACAAGCCGGCTCACACCAGCTGGAACATGGGCGCCATCCTGGAGGGGAAGCGCAGTGGCTTTGCACTCTGCGGGCCCAAAGAGCGGCTTTCCACGGAGATGATCCTAAAGGCTGAGGAAGGGAACCACGACTGGATTCGTGGGATCCTGAAGGACAACTTTGCTAGTGCCGACGTGGCGGACGCAAAAGGCTACACTGTGCTCGCTGCGGCTGCTGTAAGTCCCCCACCCTCCTGGCTGGTGCCCGCAGGAGCTTAGCTGTAAGGGTCACACATGTGGGTGGCCCTCTGTGGCCCCCTCTGCAGAAGCAGAGCTGAGGTACATGGGGATACTGATGTGTCCATACCTCTGCCTCACCGTTCAGCAGAAACCCCCTCAGCTGAGTGTGACACTTATGGTCTTGTGGAGAAGGGTTTGAGGCAGAGTGCCCATTCCATTCCTCTGTCCCACACTTGTCCCTTTGCTAAGCTCCCGAATGAGCACCGGTTCCTGCCCTGCCATGGGGTGGCCTCATGAGGGCATCAGGATGCCCAGTGACCCTTCCCAAGCGCATCCTCCTGAGTCCCGCCTCATCTCCCTCCAGACTCACTGCCACAACGACATTGTCAACCTTCTCCTGGACTGTGGGGCCGACGTGAACAAGTGCTCAGATGAGGGTCTCACGGCGCTCAGCATGTGTTTCCTTGTCTACTACCCTGCCCAGTCCTTCAAGCCCAATGTTGCTGAACGGACCATGCCCGAGCCCCAGGTCAGCCCCCGGTGGTCACCGCACCACCAACTGTCCCCTGTTGTCTTCTCTGTCTCTCTAAGTGTCCACCGAGCCTCCTCCGTCCTCCTGTGTGCACCAGGCTTGTACAGGGTGAGTTATAAGATAAGGCAGGGAGTGGGCAAGAGAGATAGAGCCTGGGTATGCCTTAAGGGACCCTGAGCTCCACCACAGTTGCCAAGTGATTATGTGTTCTTTACGCGTCACTTGCATAGGAGCCTGGGGCCCCGAGACCTGCCCTGCCAGCACTGTGCAGGAAAGGGGTACTGTGGAGGGAGAGTGGGCATCCATGACAACACCCCCAAGATGGGGCTGAGAATCTGCATGCCTAACAGTTTCCTGGCAGTACCGATGTTACTGAAACACCAGGGGTTCAGTCTCAGTCCTGCTGCTCGCTGCACAGAAAGCCAATCACTGAGATGCCAAGTATTGCCAAGGAAGAAGGCTTTAATCGGGTGCTGCAGCCAGGGAGATGGGAACTCAGTCTCAAGTCCATCTCCCTGACTGACTAACACCGGGAGTTTATGTAGCAGGAGAGAAATGTAACAATGTGTAAGAAAACAGGAACTAGGACAAGGCAAGGAGACATCTGGTGTGGTGATCTGGTGGGTTTCAGCTCTCTGATGCTTCCTGAAGGTCCTTTCCTGAGGAAGGAACTCAGATAAAACAAATATGAGTTTCAAGCTTTAACAGAAGAGTCGATTTCTATGTTTATCCAAAAACAACTATCTGTGGGACTCTTGGGCTGGTTTCAACGATGCCGCTGGTCCAGGGGCCACACTTTGGGAACCATGGCTCAAAACACAAGCAGATCAAGGGCAGTGCCATGTGACAGAAATAAAACGTGTAATTGAAATTTGGGAGGTAGCCACATGAAAAAGTAAAACAGGTGAAATTAATTTTAATAATATATTTAATTTAGCCTGATGTATTCAAAATCCAATCATGTTGGTGTATGATCAATAAGCAGCATCATTAAGGTATTTGCCTTCGTTTTCCAACCTCTCCTTCACTCCTAAGCACCTGGATGTGGACGGGCCACATTTTGTGAGCTCAGCAGCCATGTATAGGGCCATGCAGCCTGGGGTGTGGCCTGGTCAGGTGCAGGCTTCTGTGCGATACCTTCACAGGGTTTTTTTCCCCTCTTTGAGGGTTTGGGGAAAGCTGCCCTGGTCTTTTCAGCCTAGGTGCTTTGAAGACAGCTCTAGGCCATGGGCATTGGTCCTTGCTGAAGAAGGTCCTAGAATGAGGTTGTCACTCCAATTTCTTCTAATGACACTTTTTTGGTTCTTTCCAAAGGAACCTCCAAAATTCCCAGTTGTTCCAATCCTTTCATCATCATTCATGGACACAAATCTGGAGTCTCTGTACAGTGAGGTGAACGTGCCTTTCCAGGGTAGCTGTGAGCTGAGGCCACCGCCAACACCACCGCCACTGCCACACATCTTGGGCAGCCAGGAGGGCGGCCACTCTCAGGACATTGGACAGCCTGGGGAGTCTGTGGACCACAGGAGCAGCTCTCTGAAGGGGTACTCCCCGTTGGTGAAGGGCAGCCTTGGCCATGTGGAAAGTGGGCTCGAGGACATCCTGGGAAACACAGACCGGGGCACTCTGTGCAGCACTGAGACGAACTTTGAGTCCAACGTGTGTGTGTGCAACTTCTCCATCGAGCTCTCACAGGCCATGCTGGAGAGGAGCGCCCAGTCCCACAGCTTGCTGAAGATGGCCTCGCCCTCACTCTGCACCAGCAGCTTCGACAAAGGGACCATGCGGAGGATGGCACTGTCCATGATCGAGTAGGTCCTGGTGCCAGGGGGCAGGGGTGGAGGGCCACCATCAGGGCTGAATCCTATGCACAGCAGACCCATGTCTCTTCCGTGTGCCAGCGGGAGACGTTGTGTCTGGAGATGTGTGTCTGAATGTGTGAGCATCCCTGTGTTGGTGCCTCCACGCCATGGCCGAGCCTGTGGGGGTGCCACAGTGACGGGCTGTTTTCAGTGCCACCCCAGCCCTGCTTTGGCCTTTGGCACTGGCCTGAAGTGTCTCTGTGGGAGCCTCAGCAGGGGCCACAGTCCAGGGGTCCTATCCTAGCCATGGTGCATGTGAGTGACACCTGCCTGGGCAGCCCACACATCCCTACTGCCCACCCTGTCTATACCAGTGTGTCTCAAAATGTGGTCCATGCACCCCTGGGGAGTCCAAGACCCTTTCAGGGAGTCTGTGGGGTCAAAACGATTCTCTTGATAACCCTGAGACTCTGTTAGCCTTCTCCTTGTGTTGACATTGGTGGATGGTATGAAGACAGGGAAATGCAGACCACCAACCCCCAGCCTGCAAGGCAGCAGTGCCCAGCCTGCATGGGGGCATGGTATTCCTTCACCGCGATGTGCACTTGGGGGGATGCCTGTCTCACTGAAGAATGCCTTTGACAAAGCAGAAAAGCAATGACGAATTGCATTAAATCTTGCTCCTTGAGTATACACCCCTCGAATATTCTGGATCAGAAAACACGGGAAGGACACTGATGTGCATCTGCCATAGACCAAGGCACACCGCTTCTGTGCAAGAAGCGCTTCCCCCAGGGCCAGAGTAGCAAATAGAATGTGGTGTCTTCCTTAACCTCCTGCCCCATTTTTGATAGGAAGAATGACCACTGGTATGTGGCTGTTCATTCTCCTGAACACAGTCTGCCGCTTTAAGGAAAACATATGACACTATTTGTTGCTGGTGAAATTTACATTTTCAAGTGAAAAGCAGAATTTTGGACACTTGTATCCACCACCAAGACCTTCATAGCTTCCTTTGAGACGTGGGTATTCAGAGGTTTTTCGGGTGAGATGGCATAGCAGAACTTGGCCACACAGCCAAGTTCTGATGTCGAACCATCGCCAGGTGGATGAAGATCCATTGACAGTGCGAGATGGGCCCGTGGGCTTCAGTGCAACCAGGTGTGGAAGGCTGGTTGATGAGTGTCCAGCTCCACCGGGTAGCTAGCTCACCGCCCCCAGCCTGGGTAGTTCAAACAGGAAGACCATGATGATCAGAAAGGCTGCTCAAATACTCCTTCATCCAGCCGCATACCTGGGGGAAGCCGGGTCTCCACTCACTTCCACCAAGGCTGCAGCAGAGCAGATAGGGGAATCCAGCAAAGGTGGAAAACAGTGCCACCCTTCTCCCTAACTGGTTTTGCTTTGTAAAATAACTTTTTGTGACAGTATTACTTATTGGTAACATGCAGTGGGTTTGTTATGGTTAACAAGTTGGTGAGCGGTTATTGAGAGGTGAAGCCAGCCGAGCTTCTGGGTTGGGCGGGGCCTTGGAGAGCTTTTATGTCTAGCTAAAGGATTGTAAATGCACCAATCAGCGCTCTGTGTCTAGCTAAAGGATTCTAACGTGCCAATCAGCACTCTGTAAAATCGCACCAATCAGCACTGTGTCTAGCTAAAGAAATGTAAATGCACCAATCAGCACTCTGTGAAATGGACCAATCAGTACTCTGTAAAATGGACCAATCAGCAGGATGTGGCCAGGGCCAAATAAGCGAATAAAAGCTGGTGGCAGTCCACCCCCCTCGCCGCCCTCTTTTCGCCAGCCAGCAGCGGCAACCTCCTTAGGTCACGTTGCATGCTGTGGAAGCTTTTTTCTTTGAACAATAAATTTTGCTGTTTGGGTCTGCACCACCTTTAAGAGCTGTAACACTCACTGTGAAGGTCTAGGCTTTATTGTTGAAGTCAGTGAGACCATGAACTCACGGAAAGGAAGAAACTGGACACATCTGAAGGAACAAACTCCAGACCCACCATCTTTAAGAGCTGTAACACTCATGGCAGGTCTGTGGCTCCATTCTTGAAGTCAGCAGGACCAAGTACCCACCAGAAGGAATGCATTTTGGACACATTTTGACAGTTTTTGAGCTTTACCTAGTAGTGACAGACAAGGAGAGCCAGCACCCACATGAACACAGTTCCGTGGGTTTCAGAGTGGTAAGGGTCTGGATAGGGGTCTGGACGCTGGGGGCCGCTGCTCAAGGCCAATCTAGTTCCCGCAGCTACGATTCTGTGCCTGCTGCAGGGTCAGCGAGCTTGGCTGGGTCCTACACCTGCCCTGCACGCACGGTCATTCCCGCTGCCACCTGGGCCCCCTACCCCCAGCCCCTTCCTCCTCCCTTGAGCTTCTCTCTCAGCCCTGCATGGCTGCACAATCCCCACCCACCTGGCCCTAGCCTCTCCTGAGGCGCAAGTACCCTCCGGAGGCACAGCTTCCCCCTGAGCTGGCCAGCCTTTTGCTCAGTGACCCCTCAGAGGTGTGTGTGCCTGTGTGTTTGTGTCTTTGTGGTGTGGTGTGTGTGGTTTGAGTGTGTGGTGTGCTGTGTATGTACTGTGGTGTGTGTGCTCTGTGTGGCTTATGTGTGTGTGTGGTGTGTATACTGTGTGTGTGCTCTGTGTGGCTTGTATGTGGTGTGCTGTGTGGTCGGTGTATGTGTGCTGTGTATACTGTGGTGTGTGTGCTCTGGTGTGGCTTCTGTGTGGTGTGCTGTGTGTGGTGTGTGTGCTCTGGTGTGGCTTGTGTGTGGGGTGTGCTGTGTGGTTGTGTGCTGTGAGTGTGGTGTGCTGTGTGTGCCGTGTGTGTGTGGTGTGCGCTCTGGTGTGGCTTGTGTAGTTGTGTGGTGTGTCTCCGTGTATGTGTGTGTTGTAGGTGTGCGCTGTGTGGTGTGGTGGGTGTGTGTGTGGTTGCGGCACACACATACTCCCTACAAGCTCCTGCCCAGTCTCGTTGCTGGCATAGCCCTGTCCTGGGCGCAGTGCAGGTGCCTGCCCTCCAGGGGCCCACAAGTGTGCCCTCTTTTTCAGGCGGAGGAAGCGCTGGCAGACCATTAAGTTGCTGCTGCGCCGAGGCGCGGATCCCAACTTGTGCCGCGTGCCCATGCAGGTCCTGTTCCTCGCGGTGAAGGCCGGGGACGTGGATGGGGTGAGGCTGCTGCTGGAGCACGGGGCGAGGACCGACATCTGCTTTCCCCCGCAGGTAGGAGCCTCTGCGGGCGGGCGCCAGGATGAGCTCAGACTCTCGGGCACGGGCCGGGCAGCTTCTCGCTCCACCTCGGCGCGGAAGAGCGGGGTGGGCTCTTGCAGGCGACCACTGGGCTGTGTTGGTGATGGCGCACTGGAGTGGGGGATCCCACAGCCCGCTGTTCCTCCCATGTCCCCAGACAGGATTTGGACGCTGTGCTAGTTTCTAGAGTATTTCGCGATCTGTATAATGTTTTCCTAGTGTTGAAGCAAACTCAGGGGAAGCGCGTCCTGAAGTCCCCTTGGAAAGGGGAGACTTGTGTTCAGGAGGAGGCGGGCCCCCTTTCACCCCAGGCTCAGCATCACAAGGACACCAGCAGCGGAGGCAAAGGGTTTTGGTGCTGAGATTTTATCTTGACCACAACAGATCCAGCCGGCAAAATATTTAGCTGAGAAAAAAATCTTTGAAGGGGAATCTGATTTTATATTTTCTTTCTTAAGAAGTGTGAGTCCTGTGCCTGCTAAGAGACACAGCCTGTGCCTTTCCCAGAGGATGGCATCCCCCTCTGAGGCCACGCCCACCCGTGAGCAAGCAGCTTCACAGGGCATTTGGCTCTGGAAGAAATTAGCCTGCTAGTTCTTCGAAGAAAGTTTAGTGTTTCTGCTGAGTTTCCCCGGGGACTCAGGGCTTTATGGGCTTTGCTCGTTCAAACGACTCTCCTTTTCCCACCTGTCCCCCTGGGCAGTGGGCATCCCCGTGCCTGGCCCCAGATTCCCGCAGCCTTCCCCACAGCACAGCTACTGGAAGGGCTTCCTTCCCGGATTTCCACTGCTCTGGAATGGAATCAGTCACTGCCCACGACTGCGTCTCCTCTCAGAGGCATCTGGGGTGAGGCCAGGCTTTCCTTGCAGCTCCGTCAGTCCATGAGGGCCTCGTTAGGCTGCACAGGGGACGGGGCGAGATGGAGGTATGGCGGCAAGCGTGGGCTCACTGCGGCGTTTCCTGTTCACTTTAACATGACGTTGTCTGTTGTGTTTCATCCCTTTGCCTGAACCCTTGTTGTCGTTCTTTCTCTTTGTGTTTTGAAGGGCCCTACAGTCATTTCTCTAATTTAAAATCTAGACTAACCCCATCACAATTTTCCATTCAGTGCATCCACCCATCCACACTCAAGAAATGACTGCTCTCCACAGTGGCTGTGGAGATTCCAGATGGATCACGAACTGGCACCAGGGCCACCTTTGGGTGCCCCCAGAATAGGGGGCCCATTATGCAGACACATGATGGGGGTCTGTCCACTTGGCTGTGAAATTTGCTTGTAGATTTTTTCTTCTTCAGTTGTGTAAACACTCGTCCATCGTCCATCGTTTCAGCACTTTACCATATTCACAGGGTGTCGATGGGGTGAGAGCTGACGGCTCTCTCTGGCCACCAGCCTTGCCAGTTGTCACTCAGGCGGCATCGAGTGTTTGAGGGCAGGTGGGTCTCACTGTCCAGGACTCTTTAGTGCCCAGCCTTGGAAGAAATTAAACTTTTCTTCCAAGTGTAAGGTTACACAGAAAATAGAATTTTTGGTTTAAGACTCAGGATAATTTCATAACTTTTTAGGTTTACTGATCGGTCTCCATTTTTGAAACTGATTAAGGTCAGAACCTTTAAACTGGGCACGGACATCCTTCACTGACTCACTTGTTTATTCATCTGTTCATAGCTGATCAGGAATGTATTATTTACACATTTATCTTTCAAATAGAAAGTTTTTTAGAAATTAAAATATTTGAGTGGGTTTGGAAATGAACATGTCACCAAAACGCCAGGGGTTCGGTCTAGATCCTGCTGCTTACCGCACAGAAAGCCAATCAGTGAGACGATGGGCACTGCCGGGGAAGAAGGCTTTAATCAGGTGCTGCACTAGGGAGAACAGATCGTTCTCAAATCCGTGTCCTCAACAGACTAAAATTGGGGGTTTATATAGCAGGGAAGAAATGTAACCATGTGTGGAAAAGCAGGAATTAGGAGGGCTAAGGAAAAAGAATTGGTCAACAGGAAGCTGGTGCTCCCAGAGGCAGTCATGATGGATGAGGGGTCTCGGGTCTCACTGTCCAGATGTTGTGATCTAGTGAGTCTCTGTTCCTTGATACTATTTAGAAGGCCTGCTGGTTGGTTTCCTGAGGAGGGATCTCAGATAAGACAAATGTAACTTTCTCAAGTTTTAAAGAATGGAAGGGTCAATTTCTATGTTTATTTAAAAGAAACCATAGACATCCATTCTAAGGGACTACTAGGCCAGTTGCAACACCCTTCCCCCATTTGTCAATTCCTCAGTCATGAGGAATCAGGCCATGGATCCATCTGGCTGCTTCATGCAGAGGAGGGGCATTGTGGGCAGCTCCACACCATGGGTAACCCTGCGGCCACCCAAGAAAAAGGTTAATCTGATACTAGAGTTTTTTGTAAAACACAATCTTTCTCTTTCCAGTCCCCCACTTCCACCAAAGGCAAATCACAGCAAGACCAACCTACCTGCAAAATAAGCTTCAGTGGCCTGATTACTCACACAAAGTGCAGGAAGAATTATTGTCTTTTTTTTCTTTTGAGACAGGGTCCCACTCTGTCATGTAGGCTGCAGTGCAGTGACATAATCATGGCTCACCGCAGCCTCAACCTTCCAGGCACAAGTGATCCTCCTACTTCAGCCTCCAGAGTAGGTGGACTACAGGCATGTATCACCAGGCCTGGCTAATTTTTAAAATTTTTTGTGAAGACAGAGTCTCACTATGTTGCCCAGGCTGGTCTCAAACTCCTGGACTCAAGCAGTCCTCCCACCTTGGCCTCCCAAAGTGCTAGGGTTACAGGTATGAGCCACTGTGCCTGGCCAAGAATCATTGTCCATCCAGGCTCTCCTAAGTTGGCTTTGCTAGAACCTTTCACAAGGAATCTCAGACTCCACCTCAAAGGCCTCTCAAGCCAAGCCAAGGATCCATCTGTGCCTTCAGATCCCTGTGTGAATTGGGAGAACCACTCTTCTCAAGGTCCCAAACAACTTGAGGCTCCTAGGCCTGACAGAAAGTGACACAGTCCACTTACCGCAGGCCAGGAAGCATGCAAAGGAACTGCATAGACAAGGTATGAGGCCAGTATTCTAAGAGGTTCTCATTGGCTCTATAAAGTCAATCTCAATTTCTCAAAGCAATCTGCTTATTCTGAAAATGTGCCATTCCAGTCAAAGCCCTGGGAGAATAACCAGTTCCTCCAACTGTGTCCCATTATAAAAGAAAACAGATTCCTAATAAATGCATGCAAACAAATACATTGCCATGAATTAAAAATATTTGCAGTCTCCAAATTCTGGAGAAGTCAGGCAGACACAGAAAAAAGCTTCAAATTCTGTTTGCAAGAGTATACTCTATTGTTAATGGATATAAACAGCTCAGAAGAAAAAAGCTTTCCAGACTCCGAAAAATGAAACAAAAAGAACCAGCAGTGTTTCAAAAAACCATAAAAAAGGTTTCAGTCCTCCACTAGTTCGGTCCATGCAGTCACCTCTTGCTATGCTTCATGCTGGGTTAGCCGTCATAATGGGTTAACACCAGCTTTTTAGAGCCCTGGAAGTTTCTTCCTGATCCAATGGCACAATCTCCAAAGTTAGCAGAAATGTGCATTCAATAGTCCTTTCCATGAACTCCACCCAAAAAAGCAAGCCCTGGATGGTAGCTGATTATAAGTCACTTTGTGAAAAGAATCAAAGCAAAACAATAATTGCAGATGACGAAAGTCTTAGGACAGCTGTAAAGACACAGCTGACAAGGAAATTTTGTTATTTCTGTATCAGACAATTTAACAATAATTATAACCACTGGCAACATATATTAAGACAGATCAGAATTTCAGGAATGTCATGCAATTCTGGAACACATAATGAACAACATATCTATATACATGTAACCTAGAGAAAGTTAAATACTACTTTGCATTTGACAATGCTTTCTGTAAAATTCTAACATACCAAATAAGCCTACTATGTCTCTCTTGGACTTTGGGGACCCAATGGCCCCCAAAAAGGTAGTTTGATGTAAAGAAGACTGAATTTAAAACTTGAAATTTTGATTTTGGAGTTTGTCATATATCAAAGGTTAAAGACACTTGATATTATAAAACAGGATCACAGGTCACTATACAATTGCCAATCCTTTAGCCAAAATAATTCAAATATTTCAAAAAAAAAAAAAACCCCACAAAAACCTTTACTCTTTGATAGGAGAATCAGTTTCCCAAACAATAAGACCTAATAAAGACAACATGAGGCCAACTGAACCTCTCTCTCCTTTTTTTCCCTGCAGTTTACTCAAAAGAGAAACAAAAATATTTTATTATTGCCTGTAATCCCAGCACTTTGGGAGGCTGAGGTGGGCGGATCACGAGGTCAGGAGATAGAGACCATCCTGGCTAACACAGTGAAACCCCATCTCGGCCGGGCGCGGTGGCTCAAGCCTGTCATCCCAGCACTTTGGGAGGCTGAGACGGGCAGATCACGAGGTCAGGAGATCGAGACCATCCTGGCTAACACGGTGAAACCCCGTCTCTACTAAAAAAGATACAAAAAAAAATAGCCAGGCATGGTGGTGGGTGCCTGTAGTCCTAGCTACTTGGGAGGCTGAGGCAGGAGAATGGTGTGAACCCAGGAGGTGGAGCTTGCAGTGAGCCAAGACCGCGCCACTGCACTCCAGCATGGGCGAAAAAGCGAGACTCCATCTCAAAAAAAAAAGATAAAACTACTTAATCCAAGTGAATGTCACTTAATTTTAGTAACTGTAAAGACAACTAAGTAATTTGAGAGAAATCCCAGTCAATACAGTTTTAAGGACAAGGCCAATCTTTCCTGAACACTAAAACTTTGTCCTAATATCACAGTTTATCCTCATTACCTAAAGGAAAGGCTGTGAAACCAACTCAGATTATTGATTGAATAGAATTACCTTGGAAATAAATATCATGTGAACATTGCTACTCTCACC